AAATGTGCAGAAACGACCAAGACGAACTGTCTTGCCTTTTTTTTTTTCCCACTGAAAGGGATTCCTTCTCTCGAGTGTTGCCAAACACCGAAAACTTCATGTCAAGGAGAAAAGAACAGCCAGTCCTAGCCATGGGGAATTAAGATAGAAGCGCTGAGTGTACGGATCTTAAACCAGGAGCATGGGGACCTGTCGCACAGTCATCTAAGCAGAACAAAGAAAGACTTGAGGGAGAGACATGGCAAAAGGCTGCCAACAAAATAAACAACAACAGCGAAAAGAAAAAAAAAATAAATAAAACCAGAATAATTTGGTTTCTGACTTCAGCTTGTGCCAGACGATGAGAACTCCTACACTTCTGGCCTGATGAGTCTTTTGGATATGAAAGAGAAACTCATCATCGTCTCAGAAATGTCACCCCTGCTGCTTCTGGTTTGGGGTGGGAAATGAGCACGTGTCTGGTTCTCTTATTGAAGAGAATTTGGGCTGGAAGGGCACTGAGCAGAGGTGGGAGGAGGTGAGGGGGTGGGAAAAAGGAAAGATGAGGCAGATCAGGCTGTGATCAGTCACTCTGGGGTTTCAAACCTTCATTTCTCCAAAGTTACCAAGGTTGGGGAGGGGGTGTGTGTGGATAAAAAAACCTCTTAATATCCAAACAATTTTTTCTCAAGGTTTTTGAAGCAGTTGCCATGACATCAGATTTTGCTAGTGACACAGGAAAAAAAGAGCTGTGATCCTGCTCCCAGCCCATCCTTGCACAATGTGGCTCATGGAAACCAGCCAGAAGAGATGTCCCCATCCCTCCAGACTCACCCAGGGGACTGCTTGTGGCCTAAGGACTGCAGCCCCCTCCTGTGGGCTCAGCACACCGAAAAGGATCCCCCTGTATTTTCTGCCCAAATATCCCCGTAACATAAAGTGAGAAAAAAAAATGCCAGAATGGTTGCTACGGGCACAGGGAACCATTAGGCAGCTCGGTTATTTCCCTTCTGTTTCTTGGAGAAAACATCATCTTTATTTACTCCTCAAAAGCAATAAAGCGTCTTTTGCAAAATCAGGACAAGTACATTACCATTCACTCTCATTTCAAGGAGTGTGGGAAAACACAACAAACATATCACATGGATGGCTGAATTTTGTTATGATTATATTCCCATCCCACCAGCTGTAAGACCTGTCTTCTGAAACGCTCTATTATGCTGACGCCTCTGACAGAAAATTCCCTCTAGAGGCATAAAATCGTGCCTTACGCTATATATATAACCCCAGCAGGGGCAGCACAGAGTCAGTTAAAGAGTATTTTTGGCTTATGCTAAAAAGTAAAGCTGGTTTGGGGGTTGGTTTTTTGGTTCATTTTTTTTTCTTGACTCCTGTTATTGTGGTAAATGTGGGGATTAGGACAGATAAAAATGATTATACCTGGTAGCCCTGTGGTTCGCCTGCTCCTTCGACTGATGTTAAACTTCGAATAAGAGTTCCTTAGAAGGCTCTAGGGTTTGAATAATTAATTATATTTTTAAGCAGGAGTTTTTAAGTTTTCCCTTCCAGGCAATATGCCACGGGAGTTAACAAGAGGGTTAGAAAACATGAATGCTTCTATCGTAAGCAGAAAACACACAGCCATATTTTTTCCTTGCAACAGACTCCATGAATTACCCTAGCACAGATATTCAACAAATTCTTTTTCTTAACACCTGTACAAACTGCACAGAATATCTACTATGAGACAGATGAGACAATTTATTTTCCATTTGTAAACCTCGGGGGCTCCACTTTCACGGTGGATCTGCAGGAGGGCAGGCTCCAGGAAGAGATGGCTGAGGAAGAGCGGGTGTTACAATCGCAGACCACAACTGTTTTCCAATTTATATCATTTAACTCAATCTCCTAATGCCCTTTCCTACCAGTTGTCACAAGAAGCAATCCTCCTCTCATGCAGCCTATCCAGTTATTAGTCTGTGCTGTTGTCCTGGAAATTCCTTTCTTTTGAAAATGACATGGTGTGCTCATTCATCACAGCTTTGCAGTCTTGTCTCAGGTTTGAGACAAGCTGCTGTGAAAGAGGAGGACAATCCATCAACCTGCTGGTGAGAGTTCCCCATCATTTCAGGGCTGCATGATGCAATGCATAGCGATCCAGGGGTTTTCTATCATTTCCAAACTAGACAGGATTCGAATTCTGGCTGGGCAGACTGCAGTTCCTAAGAGGGGAGGGGACATCAAGAGCATCTCATGGGAGTGATGGACCACCCTTGTGGTCACAATCTTTCTGCCAACCACATTCTGTGAGTGTGAAGCACCTTGGCCCAGTTTTCCACCTCAATTTATTGCGTTCATGTTGCTATGAGCATTGCTCCTCTACCAGTCCTGCATCATGTCCTCTCTATGCTGGCCCACCCTGACCTTGGACTGTGTCTCTCCACCATGCCAGGCGTGCCATGATCCTTGTTCAGGGCAAGTAGCCTGTATCTCCGTATATCTCAGCTCTTTCTTATCTGCTCCCTCTCCTTCTTGGAGTCAGTGGTGCTTTCTGCCATGCCCCTCAACAGGCTGATGGCCGTCTGTCCCCCATGGGGCTACAGGACCATGCCAACAGGCGTGAGGACAGCCAAAACAGGGCTGATGCAACCACAGAGGAGCATAGCCCTGATCATACCCTGGTGTATCTCAGCTCTTTCTTATCTGCTCCCTCTCCTTCTTGGAGTCAGTGGTGCTTTCTGCCACGCTCCTCAACAGGGTGATGGCCCTCATTCCCCCATGGGGCTGTGGGATCATGCCAACAGGTGTGAGGACAGCCAAAACAGGGCTGATGCTCTTCCACCTTCTCTGGCTGCCTGGTGGCTGAGAAGTGCCTTGTCCCACCCCATTTGTCTCCATCCCACCTGGCTGCCCTTCAGGGAGATGACATTCAACAGCATCTATGCCCCAGACCTCATTTGCTTCACCATGGGTTTAGATCTTTATTTTGTTGTCCTCCATCGTGGCCTCATGACACCTTTCAGAATTGCCTCCACACATGAGGGTCCAAGGGTTGTGTGGTCTCAATCTTCAGCCTCCCAGCGCTTGGTTAGTCAATCCTGCACAGATTTGGGAAAGAGGCACCCCCATCTTTCATGCTTGGATGGGCAACATCTACATCTTCCTCCTACTCCTGTCTTTCACAGCATCCAAACAAAGCAGATTTATAAAAGCACCTTCAACTTTTTTTCTTTATGGACCTTTTCAAAACAAGCCATAGGTGAGAAAAGCCAGTGTCTTGCAAACCATGGGATAATTCTGGTGGGAAGGGTGCTCCGGGGGTCTCTCATCTGATGTTCTGCTCGAAGCAGAGTCAGGCGTGGGCTGAACCGCATTTCCAGGAGCTGTGCTGCTCTCTGTGCAAAAACCTGCAGGTTTGGGGCAGAGGAGAAGCCTGCTGAACCCAGGTGAGATGAAAGACACCCAAAACAACCGTGTCCTCACTGGTAACTCCAGAAACTTCTCTCACAGCCATGACTCTGCTGTGCCAGATGCTGTAAACAGCACTGATTGTCAGCTCCCTTGTGCAAGGAGTTTCCAGTCTTGGTTTAAGACAAGATTTAAGAGTAGGACAAACACAGTCCTGACCATTTTTATGTTTTTCTCCTGTATAATAAAATAGCTAACAAAAATTTAACTTGCCACCCTCGTCCCAATAAGTGGATAACCAAGCCTGACCCACAGCTTCGATCCCTGCACCATGAAGGACCCTGGGATGGGAGAAGCATGGGATAATTCTGGTGGGAAGGGTGCTCCGGGGGTCTCTCATCTGATGTTCTGCTCGAAGCAGAGTCAGGCGTGGGCTGAACCGCATTTCCAGGAGCTGTGCTGCTCTCTGTGCAAAAACCTGCAGGTTTGGGGCAGAGGAGAAGCCTGCTGAACCCAGGTGAGATGAAAGACACCCAAAACAACCGTGTCCTCACTGGTAACTCCAGAAACTTCTCTCACAGCCATGACTCTGCTGTGCCAGATGCTGTAAACAGCACTGATTGTCAGCTCCCTTGTGCAAGGAGTTTCCAGTCTTGGTTTAAGACAAGATTTAAGAGTAGGACAAACACAGTCCTGACCATTTTTATGTTTTTCTCCTGTATAATAAAATAGCTAACAAAAATTTAACTTGCCACCCTCGTCCCAATAAGTGGATAACCAAGCCTGACCCACAGCTTCGATCCCTGCACCATGAAGGACCCTGGGATGGGAGAAGGAGAGCAAAGCCCAGATGCCAGTTAGGGTGGTGGGGGTTGTTCACAGGGTGATGTTGGGAGCTGGATGCCCTCACCCTGGAGAAGGGGGGTCTTTGGAACCATGGGTGTCTGGGGATGAGGGTCTGCTCATGTGTATCAGCATGATAAATCCCCCCTTGTGGGATACAGGGGGGATCCTGTTAGGCCAGCTCATAGAGCTAGAAGAAGTGAACATCTCCTGAACACCACCCCCAAGAGCCAGAGTTCAAAGGTTTTCTGCTGTTTCAGGCTGCTCGAAGATGCAATTGTCCATCCCCAGCCCTAGAGCTGGGCAAAGGAGGTGCCACCCTCTTGGGTGCAGCAACAACTTGGACAGGAACTCCGTGCTCTGCATAGTGCTGGCTTCACCTTATTTCACATTAAAGGAGAGCCGGGAGAGCAAATGTGGATTTTTTGCAGTCCCTCATTATTCCTTAGACCCTCTCTGGGCCCTTTGCATGGGTTTTCTCTCCACAGACCCCCCCGCCCGGTGCGGAGAGCCGGGAGAGCAAATGTGGATTTTTTGCAGTCCCTCATTATTCCTTAGACCCTCTCTGGGCCCTTTTCATGGGTTTTCTCTCCACAGACCCCCCACGCCCAGTGTGTGCACTGGCAGGGAGTGCACATGAGAGAGCACTGCGGAGTTAAGGAAACCCTGAGACAAGAAATACACCCACAGGAGGATGTCATTGCATTCGACAGCGCAAACCCCCTCTGCCTCCCCCCTTCCCCAGCCCAGAGACAGGCAGACTCTGCAGACACGGTGCTGGGAGGCGTTTATTTGGTGGCTACAGCCCGTCAGAACCCGACGGGCACCTCCTTCTGCTCAGGGGTGCTTGTTGGGGGAGCAGGGACCCTTCCTCGCACGGCCAGCCTTGGGATGCTCAGTGGTACTTGCGGGCCAGAGCGTGGGCCACCACACCAACCAGCTTTTGCCAGGCAAACTGGCAAGCAGGGGTGAAATCCCGGGCGAAGTGGGAAGCCAAGACGATGATGAGGATGTCTCCGAGGAGCTGGAGGAGGAGAAGAAGCACAGAGAGGGTTAGTGCTGCTTGAACTGTGGTACCACAGCAGAGCACGGAGCAGGGATGGGGCATCCCTGAGCTGGGGCTGATCTGTTGGACCCACAACCTCTGAAGGAGGGCTGTGTACTCACTGCACCCTGTCCTGCCACCTCCTTAGCTCTAACGAGCTTCTTCCTTCATGCAAGCTCCCTGTCTCCCTGGTTTTCCTGTGGCAGGCTCCCCTCCAGTCCCCATCTCCCCCCACACACCACCCCACAACCCACAGGCTGCATTTCCTTCCTCCTGACTTCTCCCCGAGGCTGAATTCCGCCCCCTGAAAGGGGGCTCACCTGCATTTCCTTCCTCCTGATTTCTCCCCGAGGCTGAATTCCACCCCCTGAAAAGGGGCTCAAATGCTCACACTCCTCCTCTTCCTCCTCAGCCCCCCCCTGTCCCATCAGAGCAGCCCTCGGGGTGCAGGGCTGGTTACGGGGGCTGGGTCCCTCCCCATTCCCTGGGACAGCTACAGCAAGATGCTCAGCTTGTCCATGGAAAGCTCTGGATTTTGATAAAACAATATCTGCATCATTTAAAAAAAATAAAATACATAAAAATATATATAAAAATGAAAGAATGAACCTTGAAGCTATTTCCCCCCATTTTTTGGATGCTAAAGGAATTTGGCCTGAGACCCACCCTGCAAAATCCTGGGGTTTTTTGCTTTTTCTCTTTAAATGGAAAGGAAGAAAATGATTCATTTTTATTTACAAGTGCTGGGGGAGGAAGCAGAGCCCCATCCAGACCTGCAGCCCACACTGGGCAAGGCAGAAAACTGCCCTGTGGTTTTCCAGTGCACAAGCTGCTTATCTTGCTGTAGGATTTCCTCAAATGCTCTGCTTGACTTCCCCCTGCCTCTGCCTCCTCCAGCCCACCCTGCACCTTCCCCTGGGTTTGGTTCTTTCTCCCCCAACCAGATCACCTTCAGATAAAGATCTCCTACAACCTCCTCCTCCCAATTGCTCTGTTGGCACTAAAATTTTAGACTTGTTAACGTGAAAGTCACCCACCCTCTTGCAATCACTCCTGCATCACAATCGTCTCCCATGGGTACCACACGGGCTCTCTGCCTCCACCAGCCAAAAACCAGCCCCAGAGAGAGTTGGTGGAGGCCATACGCCCAGTTTCAAAGCAAAACTTTCCCCACAGGACGTAGGGAAGGAGCTGGGACTACAAACACAACTCACCCTGAAGTTCTCAGGGTCCACATGCAGCTTCTCACAGTGCAGCTCGGACAGCTTGGCGTAGGTCGCCTTAATGTTGTCCAGGTTCTTCACAGCTTCCCCGAAGGAGGTGAGCACCTTCCTGCCATGGGCACGGACCTTGGGGTTGCCAATGATGGCAGTGGGACTGGAGAGGTTCCCAAAGGAGGAGAAGAACCTCTGGGTCCAGGGGTAGACAATCAGCAGCCTGGGGAGAGACGGAGGGACATGGGCAGATACATTAACACTCCCAAAGGCAATTGCCGTGGTTTCTCTATCCAAGGTGAAGCTGAGCAGATGCCCAGGAGCTGGACCTACCTGGCCAGGGCCTCAGCACCACATTCCTCCACATTGATCTTGCTCCAGACGCTGGCGATGAGCTGCTTCTCTTCGGCTGTCCAGTGCACCATGGTGGCGGGCGGCTTTGCTAGGAGCTGCAGGAGGACACAGACCCTGTAGAAGAGCTGCAGACCCCATGGAGGCTTTTATCCCCTGCCAGCAGCTCCTCCCCATCCTGTTCTGCGGGGTCATTGGCTGGGGATGGGGTGGGGGTCCCCATCAGAGGGGAGAGCAGAAGGGGATGGCCAGGGTGTGTCACGTTGAGAAGGGGCCCCTGGTTATCCTGAGTTCAAGAGCTTTGTCCCTTCCCCTCCACGTGGGCAGTTCCCTGTTCCACCTACCAGATGTGGGCCCCTTTGCAGAGAAAGGGTTGGCCAAGCCACCATGAGATAGTCCATCGTGGTCAAACACATGTGCAGGGGGCAAGCCTTGTGCCTCGATTCTCCCAAATGCCGGATTCTGCCTTGCCCTCGCCTCTGCCAGTGAAATGATGAATCCCCCTGCCAAAATTCAGCCCATGGCAGAGCAGCCCAGAGGGATTTGCCACCAGCAAACCCATGAGATACCTGCTCTGCAGGAGGTCTCCACTCTCCTTGCGCCACCAGGAGCTGTGGGTGACACTAGGGTTGTTCAGAGGGTGCTTGGGCTTTGCAGCTGAAATCTCCTTTAACCCTGTTGTCCTCCTCCTGTAACAGCTTGACCTGCTCAGTTTACTTGTCCCTTTTGGAGCAGGAAGAAACAGCTCACCCAAATGTTCTCCCCTTAGATGTAAAAAAGACCTGCCAAATGAAGTGCTGCTGGAGAGGGAGCAAGTATCAAACAGGATCAACCTTTTCTGCTTTCATCCACATCCAGAAAGGGCAGGAGAAATGGGCTTTGAACACAAGGTTTGCCACTGCAGGATCTGCTGTGGGCTCAAAAAACAGCAAAAGCTCCACTCAGGGATGTCCAGCCCAGGGGAAGGCCAGGGTTTTTCCCTTCTGAACCTGCCCTGACAAAGCTGCCATATTTCTTATTTTCTCTTCTCCAGGCTGAACCCCCCAACTCTCTCAGCCCCCCCCTCCCAGCAGAGGGGCTCCAGCCCTTCCAGCATCTCCGTGGCCTCCTCTGGCCCCACTCCAACTACTCCATGTCCTTCTGATGTTGGTGGCCCTAGAGCTGGATGTCGGGACTGAAGGAGATTTTCAGCCTGATAATGTCTCTTTCCCCCTCTTGTTGTAGACTTTATCAATGGAATAGGGATGAATATTCAACATTAGAGTTACAGAATCATAGAATCATGGAATTATAGAACATTTTGGGTTGGAGGGGACCTGAAAGATCATCCGGTTCCAACCCCCCTGCCCTGGGCGGGGACACCTCCCACCAGACCAGGTTGCTCCAAGCCCCCTCCAACCTGGTCTTAAACCCCTCCAGGGAAGGGGCAAAGGTCTATATCTGCCTTTTGTGACGAAAATCTAGTGCACCTGGTCTTGAACCCCTCCAGGGAAGGGGCAAAGGTCTCTATCTGCCTTTTGTGGCGAAAATCTAGTGCGTGCGGGCCAGTCTGCTGGAGCATGATGATAAATCCAGTCGACCAGTGCCCGGGTACATGCACTGGGGGGGTGACAACACACTGGCAAAATACCACCGGTGCCCACCCTCCTGCACCACCTTATCAACCCCTCCAGGACCTGCCATCCCTGCAGCGGGCATTGCCCTGGGGGGTTGTCAGCTCCCACAATGACGTTCTGCCATCACACAGGAGACAAAACGGGGGCAGGAGAAGCCCCACAAGGAGAAGACAACCCACAGGATCTGTTTGCCAGGGGATCAGGGACTGGGGTGTCATCCCCCAGCTGGGGATGGGGAATGAAGCCCCGGGGAACCATCCCCATCCTGCCATGCTGGGATGAGGGTGCAGGGGATGGAAACCCTCGTCCCTGCTGCTGGGAAGGAGTATCCCAACAGGAACCCCGACAGCGGGAAGAGCCCTGCTCTGCTGACCTGCAGGGTCCAACCTGAGAGGCTCATTTCAACCCCCCAGGCACCTTGTTCGCAGGAGGAGACCTGCTTGATTAAATAATTCCATCTTTTCTGCCTGAAGTCTGTGAACAATATTTTCATATGAAAGGTTATGAATGGCTAACGTGAAACCTATGAAAAATCACATCAGAATCTGGGTTTTGTGGCCCAGACTCCCTGCAGGGACGAGATCACTTCAGCACTTGGTCGGCACCACCTTCTCACAGCCTGCCTTGACACCAGAAACAAAATGCCTCTTCCTCGGAGCAACGTGCGTGAGAAAGGGCATTTATGGGTCACAAAACGCTTTTATTACCCTCCAGTGGGTCATGGGGAGAGAGTGTGATGCCCAAAAATGTGGCTGAAGCTGGGAGAGGACACGGTGCAAAGAGGGTGTCAGAGACACTGGGATATATTGCTTTGCCCTCTTTTTTCCCCTTTGAAAAATAAGCGTGTCCTTTCATCCAACCATCGTTTTTACTGCGTCATGCTTGGTCCAGACAGTGCTTCCCATGCCAAGAACAACCTCTACCCGAGAGAGTCCTGCCCTGCAGACACTTAAACACCCAAGACGTTCTGAGTGCACACAGCATCAATTGATACCCACATCCGGAAAATTATTAATATTTACCACTATTAGCAGGATCGGGCCCCCTCCCTAATTGCCGAATGGGCGGCACAGGGTGAAAAAGAAGCACATAAACAAAGTCTGGACGGGTCTTGATAGCGAAATGTTTATCTAAAACCTGCCCCCACCCAGCTGGCTGCTTGGCCAGTATGAGTCAGCTAATTTCTTGTAGGCTTTATGCCAGGAATGAGCCCGGGTAGATTAAAGTCTTCGCTTTATTTATGCCCCCTAAAAAAAATACGAGTCCTCTGAGTTCCCCTCGCCTGCAAAAAAACATGCACATTTCATGGTAAAACACCAGCAGGTTCCTCAATGCAAACTTCCCAGAAGTAGCTGGGCTGCATCTGCCCAATACTCTGTAAGGATGATTTCCAGAGCCCAAAACTCGCCCAAAAAACATACAGAACAAAGGGAAGTGGTGTCTTCTGGGAGCAAAATGCCCTGTTCGAGCTTAAACCCCCAGCCCTCCTGCAGGTGCCCCAGGTCCCCGTCCCACCAACCCCTCCATCATCTCAGGGACACACGGACTCGGTGGAGACTTCACAGGATGAGCTTTATTTGGCTGTTACAAGCTGTTGGCTCCAGAGCAGCACATCAGCCGGTGCACGACATGCGGCTGGAGGATGCTGCCAGGGCTTTCCTGCTGGCTTTTTAGTGGTATTTGCGGGCCAGGGCATGGGCCACCACACGGACCAGCTTTTGCCAGGCAGCCTGGCAGTCGGGAGTGAAATCCTTGGCGAAGTGGGCGGCCAGCACAATGATCAGGATGTCACCCAGGAGCTGGAGGGACAAGAAGACCCTCAGGTTAGCAATGCCCAGCAGCCCGCAGACCCCCACACAAGCATCTGCACCAGACCCAGGGAAAAACTCCAGGCATTTTCTTGGCTTAAAAAAATCTCACCCAGAGTCCTTTCTAAGATGAACCTTAAACTTGTTCTCTGCTCTTACTCTAAGGATTCGGATTCTGCTACTGCTGTAGGAAGAGTAACCAAAAGCTCCCCAGAAATTTTGTGGATTAAATTTCTTTTTCTCCCTTCTGGCTTTGTTTGGGAGTTTCTCCCCAGCAGAAGCCATATCTGAGGGTCTGTGGTGCGGCAGGGAGCCGACACTTGGCAGTGCCAGCCCTGGTGACAAATGTTGGGCTTACTTCCCCATGGGAAAACTCTCAGCTATGGACACACAGGAGCCAAAGTTCTCTCTACCTTTAGGTCCCATTCCTCTTGTGCTGTTGGCATCCAGCTGCCGTCTCCTGCTCCTCACTCATCTCTCCTTTCTCCTCTGTGCCAAGCTCCTCTCTGGCTCCTTCGCCCTCCCCTTGGCTCAAACCTCTTCCTGCCCAACAACCGCTTTCACTTTGCCCTTCCCCTCCCATTCTGCACAAAAACCACCTCCTCATCGCCTTCCTGTCTCCCCTGCACCCTCCCTTGCATCTTCCAGACGACTTCTCCATACACCATCACCCCTCAGCCCCTTCGGTGTTTTCACACTGAGCTTCAGGTTCATTCCTTCCCTCCCTCTCCCTCTCCTCCATCTCCCCCTCACCCCAACCACCAGCCCCTCTTCCTCCTGCACCGACATGTCTGGGGTAAACCCTTGATGTGGTGGGACTTGGGGTTGGGGGAGAAGCTGCCCACAGAGAGGACAATTCCCCAGTGATGAGCACGGCTCACCCTGAAGTTCTCGGGATCCACGTGCAGCTTGTCGCAGTGCAGCTCGGACAGCTGGGCGAAGGTGTTCTTGATGTTGTCCAGGTTCTTCACGGCTTCCCCGAAGAGGTGAGCACTTTCTTGCCATGGGCACGGACCATGGGGTTGCCAAGGATGGCGGTGGGGCTGGAGAGGTTCCCGAAGGAAGCGAAGAACCTCTGGGTCCAGGGGTAGACAATCAGCAGCCTGGGGAGAGACGGAGGGACATGGGCAGATGCATTAACACTCCCAAATGCAATTTCCATGGTTTCTCTGTCTAGGGTGAAGCTGGGCAGATGCCCAGGAGCTGGACCTACCTGGCCAGGGCCTCAGCACCACAGTCGGCCACATTGACCTTGCCCCAGAGGCCGGTGATGAGCTGCTTCTCTTCGGCTGACCAGTGCACCATGGTGACGGGTGGAGGGTAGCGTGTGGCTGCCGGCGGGTACGGAGGGTCTCGGCTCTTGCTCCCAAGGGGATCGCACGCTGGCGAGCGGCTCTCCCCGTCCCCACTTTTATACGCTCCCCCGGGCCCCTCCTCCTGCCCCTGCACCCCTCCCTTGGCTGGGCCCCCGGGGGGGGGGACGGTGCCCCTGGCACCCGAGGGAGGGGACGCGGCATCAGGGTGGGGCCCCAGGGCAAGATGCCCAGATCCACCACGGGATAGGCTGTCCGTCTGCCCGTCCTCCCCTGTCTTTGATTTCCAGCTCCATGGCTCCCCACTGAAGGGTGGTATTTATCTCCACGCCACATCTGAGCGTCCTACAAGCCCCCCATGAGCCCCCGGAGGAAGGTGCGTTGACAGGCTTGGTGCCCCTTGGATGAT